CACAGCAATAATGTACCTGAGCCTCAGGACTCTTAGGGGTCACTGCAGAGACAAGCAGAGAGCTTGATAGTTTATGAGCCTCTGGGCAGAGTTGGTTGTTTGAATCAGGTGTCCCGGGGTGAGGTGGGGGAGGAAAATGAAATACAACAGCAGCAGGAGACGCTTGGGGGCATGCAGTGTGGGGAACATTCACCTCAGAGGACCCAATGGGAAACGGGTACTTTTAGCCACCCACTTGGCAAATCCTGTCCTCCAACACTTCCTTCCCACTTTCCCCAGCCCCAGGATGTATGACATCATAGACACTGTAGCCAGAAAGGGATGGAGAGAGAGGGGATGGTTAGATGCCTTGTTTTCCTGTTTCCTGTTTGCTTGCTGGCATCTCCTCACTTCTCAGAGACCTCTCCAGGGAGCCCATGTGCTGTCACCCAGGAGGAAATAACACAAGAGAGCCACAGCCAGCAACCTGGGCACGGGCAAGATCCAGGTTCTGCTAGTTACCACCTTAGACAGGTCACACGGCCTGTGTCAGGTGAAATGGGGGTATAGGTCCTAGCTCCTCACTTTGCTTACAAAGTTACTGTAAGCACTAAATGAGGCCATATAGTCCCTGACAAGCAGTTTGCTTTGACTGTAACATGTTATGCTTCTCAAAAATGTATGTGTTAAAACTTAAAAAACCCAGTGGGATAAAAGATGAAAACTTTGAGGAAGTGATTAAGTCCTCAGGAAATCTACTTTTAGTTTAGTTTGGTTTGTTTTAAGACAGTCTCACTATATAGACCAGGCTGCCCTGGAACTCACAGAGATCCACCTCCCGTCTCCCAAGTGATGGGATTAAAGGTGTGTGCCTTCCTACCCGACTAGGATTCAACTCTCATTAATGGAATGGTCACCTCCAAAGATGAATAGGGGAAATCTACCAAGGTCATTTCTGCCCATTGTGCTTCTGCCTCGTGGGGACAGAGCAAAGAAGTGACATTTCTTGTCTGTTTCCAACAGGGTCTTAATCATGGAAAATTAGCTTTGAATCCACATGTCGCAAGGATGACTCCAAATTCCTCATCCTCTGCCTCTGTGTCCCCAGTGCTGGGATTACAAGAGCACAACACCATACTAAAAAGCAGCGTCTCAGAAGTGGAGACAGGGCACCCGAAGTGGGAGCTCCCCAGTCTTGACCTTCCTGCCTTCAGGAGTGCAGTCAAGTTGTCTTGGGTTTCCCAGTCTCTGGTGTTTAGTTACAACAAGTAGAAAGGAACCAATCAGGAAAGCTTCCTGTCTGCCAGGGTGGAAATCAGCATTGGCCAGCCTACTCCTAACAACCAATCAGAAGGCTCAGGAACCAATGGCACACTGCCCAAGTATCTGTCTCCACGGCACAGTCTCCACATGGGGGGATGGAGACAACTGGAAGGAGGCGGGGAGGGGGCTCATGGACTAAAGATACATGCTCTCAAGCCCGGTGACCTGAGTTTGACCACCAGAATCCACATAATGGGAAGAAAGAACCAATTCCTAAAAAATGTTTTATGATCGCCACACAGTTCTCTCTCTCTCTCTCTCTCTCTCTCTCTCTCTCTCTCTTTCTCTCTCTCTCTCTCTGTCTCTCTCTCTGTTAAAAATGGAAGCCCTAACAAAATTCAGGTCACCAAATTTCTGCCTATAAAACATCTGTTTAAAATGAAAGAATTCCATCAATTTTTTTTTCTGGAAATTCCTTTTAGTCTCAAGAGCAGCAGCTTATTGCAGGCAGAAGTAGGGGAAATCGCACTACATAGGATCTGTGATGGGCACAGCATGAGCAAAGTCAATACTGAAGTACTGAGGGTGGCGAGTCGTCTGCCCAAGCTAGGACCGAGGAGTCTTTCTTTCATTAGCACACCATTTAACGGCAGACCTGACCACAGGACTCAGTCCTGTGTCTGTGTTGTGGAATAATCTTTTGTACACTGTGAAGCTCTGTCACTCATTTTCATTTAGTAAAGAACTAAGCAGTCAATAGCTGGGCAAGACTTCCAGGCACAGAGGATGCTGGGAAGAAGAAGGGTGGAGTGGTAAAGAGATACAGAGGCAGCATGGGCTTTACAGTGTAAAGGTAACCAAGCCACATAAAAGAATGCAGATTGAAAGCTATGGGTTAACTGCAGTTATAAGAACAGGTTAGAAACAACCCTAAGTTATCGGCCAAGCTTTCATAATTAACAGTAAGTCTCTGTGTTGTTTTTTGGGAGCTGGTGGGCCAAAGAAAAATCTGTCTGCATGTCTGTACCTAGGATTAGATGCCAGCATCTCTCTGTTCTTGAGATATTTCATGTTTTGTTGCTTCTGATCTAGTGCAAAGGAAGACAGTTAAAGCTGGAATTAGAAAATGTTCAAAAGAACAAATGAGGAAAGCCTGGTGCTCCCGCCGATGCTGCCAAATGCTGTTCTTCACCTCAGGGGAGACACGCAAAAGGACAGTCCCTTGCAAGCACAGGCTCACTCCCTGAAAGCTGGGATGAAGCAAGGTGAAATAAACAATAATACAGCTGGGGGAGTGCTTAATAAACATACAGGAGTCCCTGGGCTTGATCCTCTGTGTTACATAAGCTCAACATGGTGACCCAGGCCTATAATGCCGGTGTAGGCAAGAGGGAGGCAAGAGGATAAGAAGTTCAAGGTCAACATCAGCTACTGCTGAGTTCAAGGAAAGTCTAGGATAGATGAGATCGTGACTTAGATGTTAAATATAGAATGGCGGTAAAGAGAAGAAGCTGAGTCCTTCGGGGATAGAGACAGAGGAAACCTGAGTATAGGGCTCCCTTCTCTAAGACTGCTACAGCGTGGGGGTCAGGAGACTGAACAATGGCTATAAACAGGTGTCTGGGTAGCACTTCAGGACTGCCATGCCCTCACCTGAACATCTGATTCTGTAGAGCAGGTGCTAGCCCCTCTTGACACAAAGAGATCAAAGTTCAGGGGTCTAAAATAAGTTACCCAAAGTCAGCCCACAAGAAGCCTGGCCTCCCTGTGAGGACTCTGTTCCCACAGCAATCTGATGATCCCTTAGTGTGAGTGACTGGGTTGGGAATCTCTGCAGGGTGGGACCTTATTTATCTTTGTGTCCCTGGATACTCAGTAAATGTGGTGAAGTGGAATGAACTTCATTGAAAGTTCTTTCAAAGTAGAAGATTAGACCTTACACATAACGCATACACGAAGATACACACACTACACACAGAGACACACAGAGAAACACACACACATAGACACACATACACCACACGCACACACATACACTACACACAGAGAGACATACACTATAAACACACACATACAGACACACACACTACACACAGAGACATACACACAGAAACACACAATACACCACACGCATACACATACACTACACACACACACACAGAGACACACACATACACTATAAACACACACATACAGACAACACACACACTACACACAGAGACATGGAGAGAGACACACACACATACACTACACACAGAGAGACACACACAGAGAGAAACACACAGACACACACAAACACTACACGCATACACATAACTATACACACAGAGAGACACACATACACTACTAACACACACAGACATGCATAACACTACAAATAGACACACGGAGAGAGAGACACACACACATACTACACACACAGACACACACACTGCACACACAGAGAGACATACACAGAGGAGAAAGAGACATACTACACACACATAGAGATACACACATAGACACACACATATACTACATACATAGAGACACACACACCACACACTACACATATACTGCACACACACACACACACATATACTACACACAGAGACATGCACACTACACACACATAAACTACACACATACAGAGATACACATACACACACCACACATACAGTACACACACACACACACACACATGCTACACATAGAGACACACACACCACGGTGAGAGAGAGGGATCTTTCAACAGTTATCAGAAACATTTAGTTTGATGTTCAATTCTAGACATTTGTTGAATACAGACAGAATCCAGTTCACGCGGCTAGGAAAACAGTGACAACTCAAACTGGCTAGAATCCCAAAACAAGACAGCCCCTTATAAGCCACTTGCAACTCTAAGTGTTTCTTGGACAAACTGAAACTGTCGCTGTCCTCCTTGGAGCTGATCAGAGGTAAGAGTATGGAACATTCCCCTGCCCTGGAGCTGTACAGTCGTGTCTGAGTTTTCACCAAGTCTCCGCCTGGGTCCTGCCTACCAAATCCGAGGCTGAGGCAACTGACGGCCCCTGCTGTTAGTTGGCACCAGTTGTGTGCCCTGCGAATGCCCAGCGACAGCGTGATGTGATTTGAGACCCTTGGCTTTTTCTGGGGAAAGGATTGGCTTCTGCTGCGTGACCTATAGATGATGTCTGCTTCTGGTGAATGACCTGGCAGTATTTGTCCTCCAGTTCAAAACAGAAGGTGGGGAAGAATCCTGCCCTTCTTACTGCCCCCACTAGGGGAAGAGAGACCTGGGGAGGAAGTGGGTTTTTCTAAATTTATGATCTTCTGCTTAGGTCAGTGGACCTCAATCAGAGAACACTGGCGGCATCTGAAGATAGTTTGGGTTGTCCCAGGTAGGGAAAGTGGCAGACATCTAGAGAAGGGAGAGGCCAGGGCCGCTGGCTTCCCCCACCCCCCACACTGGCTATTGTCTGTCACTAGGTTTTTCCTTGGGTTCAGAGGGGAAAGGTGAATTTATTAGATTTAGGGAGAACTGAGAGTTTTAAGACCCATGAGACTTCAGCTCTTCTTCATCCTAAGTAGCAGACAGTTGAAGACCCTTGGAGTGAGGGGGGGTGAGTGGCTATGACCACTTGAAAGAAGAGAGTAGGGAAGAGGAGGGGAATCCAGAAGCCAGCATTCACAGTATGGACACAGACTTTATCCGTGGTACAAGATGCTTTCTTATCCATGAGAAAGACTTAAACACCTCCCCCAGACAGCCCCTCTGCTATATCCTTGCTTTACCCCTTCTTTATTTCCAAACTTTATGAAACATGGATATAAATGAGAAAAAATAATATTTTTCTAAAGGTACTTTTAAAAACAAGAGTGTGAAGTCCACTGGAGGTGGACACACTGTTAGCATCTCGAGAAAGGGATGCTGGAGGTATCCTGGAGGTGTTTCTGATGATGGTGACGGCAGGATCTCCTCTTCTCTCTTCTCCTGGCTCAGAGGACTCAGGAGGGAAATGTTGCTTCTCTAATTACCTTGGTCCAATACTGCAATCTTTTGGAACTGCTTTTACTGGGAAGTTACAGCAAGAGAAGTGTATCTGAAGGTGGAGGGAAGCACAGAGAGCCTAGGGCATGCCAGAGCTCCTGGAGCCAGCAAGAGATGTGCTGTCCTTTGCGTGACAGACCAAGGGCATCTATTCTGCAAGCAAACTAGCCCTGTAACTGGCTCGTCCACTGGGTTTGCTTGCCTCCATCACAGATAGGGTCAGAGAAGCAGGGATGAGTGGTACCCTCAGCATCCCTTAGTTTTTAGGTGATGTAAGACTCCCTTAATTGGTATCTGGTGCTTCAGGCACAGGTTGGGACTGGGGTACCAGAGACGATGCCAATTTAGTGAGGGCCTTTGCTATGATGTCCAGGTGGCCGTTCATTGTCCGAAGTTCTACCAGGATGTCCCCAACATTGGCCTCCAAGGTGGCAGCAGTGGCTGCAGGGGCACAGGGGGGCGGGGATGTTCTAGGATTCTCGGCATGATCATCCCTGGCAGAGCTTGGATGCTGACTGTGACCCCTTTCTGAAGCTGAAGCCGGAGTCAACACAGGCTGGGGCCGCTCACGATCCTTGCCTCGGACACCAGGGGAGGTGGCAGACGGGCAGCTGGGCAGCCAGTCAACAAGGTGGGGTGCAGCTTCTGGGGATGAGGTGACAATGGTGTAGAGCCCAGTGCGCCGAGGGATGCAGATACCCGGGGCTGTAGAGGGGGTGGACAGAGGTGGCAGGAGAGAGGGCAACATGGTCGGACTCGGGGAGAAGGCCTGGGGCTCACAGGAGGAGGAAGGAGATGGCAGTGCAGCCGTAGAGGGGCCCGGCTCCTCTGAAGACAGGAACAGGGTAGTGGAAGACTGGGAGTCCAAGGTACTGGGCTCTGAATCTGTCAAATAAGAAGAGGGAAAAAGGTCACTCGGGTGTTTGTGTCAACTCTGTGGCCAGTTGCACATTAGTTGCTAAGGAAACGACAGAAATGTGGAACTGTAGTTCCCACCACTCAGAGGGACGTCCAGTGAAGAGAAGCAGACTGTCAAACAGGTTGTGTCCCAAGAAGGAAGTAGGAAGTAGGCAATATGGGAGCTCAGTCCAGGATCTTAGAAGAATAACTGTGTTAAACAGATCTCTCTCTCTCTCTCTCTCTCTCTCTCTCTCTCTCTCTCTCTCTTTCACACACACACACACACACACACACACACACACTCGTCAGCAACACTGGGGACTCAAGACAACCTTGAAAGTCTGTGCTGATTCTTGCTGGGATAGGTGATACTGTGGGATTCTCAGGAAGTCCTGTCCCTCTTCCTTAGGGACTTGGCTTCATTTCTCCATAGACATAAGAAGGTTCAATGACCCTTCAGGACTAAAACGCTGTCCAGTCTGCAGCTCATGACAATGATGTGTGTCACAGCCATGCACACCCCTCCTGGTGTTAACTCTCTCCTGAGTCCCCTAACCTTCAGGTAGGAAGTGAACAACTGCTCTTTTGGAATAGGCATGGTAACAAAGTCACCAACCTCCCATCACTGCATGGCCCTCATCCAGACAGATGACCTACCTCAGCTACCACAGCAAGGCCACTAGCTACCTGTGAATGCCCTAATCAGAGTGGTGGTTATTGCCCTAAGGAGGAAAAGCCTCTGTTGTTTTCAAAGCTAAAACACCAGAACACAGAAAAGCTCTCAAGACACAACCGAACTGGACTGGGAAAGAAAAGTGCCTGCCCGAGGCCTGGGGTGGAGTTCAGTTCATAGAGTACTTGCCTTGCATACAAGCTGTCCTGGGTTCAATCCCCAGGACCATAGAAACCAGACGCCTCTTATAATTCTAGCTCTCAGGAGGATCAGAAGTTCACAGTCCTCCTTGGCTACCCAGCAAGTTTGCCAAGGAAACACATGATGACATGAGGCTCAGGGGACAGTAGGAGTCAGGATGGAGCACATGGAATGAGCTGACAGTTGTCACCGGCATCTCTGCCTCGCACCTCCGTCTTAGCTGAGCCGTGAACACCATGATGGCTCGTATTCACTGTGGACCAGATCTGGAGCCACCTAAGAGGCTCACCACTGGGCATGTCTGAGGGTGTCTCCCGCTAGACTGAACTGATGGGTGAAGACTCACTGTGGATGTGGCGGCACTGTCACTGAACGAACGGGAGAAAGTGAGCTGAGCACCAGCCTTCCATTTCTCTCTGGTTTCTGACTGTGGGTGCCATGTGACCAGTAGCCTCACACTCCTGCATCCATGCCTTCCCCACAATGAGGAACCGTATCCCTGAAAACCATGAGCCAAAAGCAATCCTTTCTTCTTTGAAGTTGCTTTTCATGGGCATTTTGCCACAGTAATAAAAAGGTGACTAATACACCCACTCAGAATAAAGACCACATTTCTAGCCTCCAAGTCAACTGTGCACACACAGACTAACGTAGAGGTACTGGGCTCAATTCCTCCTTCCTGGGGTCCTGGGCTCGATGGCTGGAGCTCCAGCAGTCTGTTTTCACCATGAGGACGAGGTGAAAATAATGTAAGGGTTACAGAGTAGAGAACTAAGTACCCCAGCTACTGTTAGGACCCATGTTCTCAGTCTCTGTCTGTCTGTCTCTTTGTCTCTTGCCTCTGTGTCTGTCTGCCTGTCTCTGTCTCTCTCTCTCTGTCTCTCTCTGTCTCTCTCTGTCTCTCTCTCTCTGTCTCTCTCTCTCTGTCTCTGTCTCTCTCTCTGTCTCTGTCTCTCTCTGTCTCTCTCTGTCTCTGTCTCTCTCTGTCTCTCTCTGTCTCTCTCTCTCTCTGTCTCTCTCTGTCTCTCTCTCTGTCTCTGTCTCTCTCTCTCTGTCTCTGTCTCTCTCTCTCTCTCTCTCTCTCTCTCACACACACACACACAGAGAGAGAGAGAGAGAGACAGAGACAGAGAGAGAGAGAGTTGTGTATTTTGACATTCTTGCGGATCCAGCAGTGAGTGGCAGACACCACGTCATACAGGGACGGGTTGGTTAGGGTTCCGGCCATAGAGGAGCAATCACAGCCCAGCCATAGGTTTTGCTTAGGGGTAGCTCTGGAGAGGCAGGCAGGCGGGTTGTGGAGAGGGCAGGTCAGACTGGGCCAGGATGTGGGGGGTGAAGGGAGAAGGATCAGAGAAATGGCCTCAGCTCAAGGCTCCAGACTGGGAACTTTCCCTTTCTTGTTCCCTGGAGTCTGGGTGGCCTTTTCCCAGCCACACCCAGGCCTCCAGCAAGGCTCAGTTGTGACACACCTCAGCAGAGGCAGCCCTTGGAAACATTTTCCCAGGGGGGCGGGAAACTCTCTAGCCTGGGGCCTGCCGGAGAGCAGGTCTGTGGGAAGGGCGTGAGGTGTCTGAAGACACAGAGTCTCTCAGCACTGCATCTGGGCCTCAGCCTTTGATGGCTCAGACTTGGCTGGACGGCTGCCTGCTCCTTTCAGAACAGCAGACCTCTGAAGGGAGGGCCGAACGAGCGTCTGATGAACTCAGCTCAATAATATTCATTTCTTTTATTTTCCAGGAATGTCATGAGCCCCACCGGGCAATCTTCTGGTTTGAAGACCTGATGAGTCAAGTCTATACAGACTCCTGACTCAGTTCCATCCCGAGTTCTCAGCAGGCCTCTCCCAGGAGTAGGGCTCAGCAGGAGAGCATGGCCTGGACACCTCATTGAGAAAAGGCAGCAGGACTCTGGAGCAGGCCTGAGCCGGGCTAGCATTCCTACGGTGACGTGGGCCACACTCCCAGAGAGAGCCCATGTTCACTTAGTTCTTACCAAGTAAAAAGAAATCACACCTTCACCCCACTAATCTTTGTGACCAGCTCTGCATGGATTGTATTATTAATCTCTTGCCATGAAGGAGACTGAGATTCAACGCTGTAAGGAACCCTGCACCCTGACCCAGAGCAGGTAGTTGATGCCTAGAAAGGCTACTCCATGGAAGGAAGGAGAGACGTGTATGAGGCATGACTTAGAGGAGAAGAAATGTGTGTGATGGATCTGTGTGTGCGCATGCCTGTGTGTGTGCAAGTGTGTGTGTGTGTGTGCATGTGAGTGTCCATGTGTGTGTGCACACATACACACACCTTCTAATTTGCTGTTTAATGAATTGCCTCACCAAAGCAGTGTAGTCTGCAGCTTTAGATGGGGTGGGCTAGCTGGGGCTACTGAGACAAAGCCTCTGCTACAGCCCACAGAGCCAGGCTTTCACAGAGGTGACCAGAGCGATACATCCACTGTCTCTCCCATGAGCGCTGTCCATGCAATGTACACTGAGTCCCACTGCCAAAGGGTTCAGAGGCTGAGCATGTGGAAAATCTGTGTTCTCCATTCCTGGCGAGGTTGTCACCACATCAGTCACGCGGGAGACCTCAGTAGCATGGATGTCTGTGTAAGCTACCCAGCTTTTCATTCTCTTGGGCTAAGGGGACAGGGTCCTGATGAGCCACTTTGCTAATAAAAAGAAAGTGAGAGGAAGAGAGGAAGGCGGCCACACAGACTGGGTGTAGCTGACGGGGACGCTGGCTCAGGTTCTCTTCAAGGAAGGAAAGCTGCTGAACTTAAAGGGATCTGGGCACATAGGGTATCAGCAGCAATGTTTATAATGAGCAAAGGGGCAGCAAACATGTCCACTGTGGCAGAGAAGGGCAAATGAAACATGACACTCACATACAAAATACACTATTGTACCCTAAGAGGAAGGACCCTCAGATACCTCTATCACATGGCTAGCCCTTGAGAACACAATACTAAATAACACAGCCACGAAGTGAATACTCAAAATCCTACATGGACCCCTTATTTGGAGTTCCTTGAATAGACAAATGCACAGAGACAGAAAGGGCTGTGGTAGCTGCCCAGCTCTGGGGAAGGGACAGATCGTGTGCAGTAGGCACAGAGCTTCAGCTGCAAGAATGCAGAAGTTCTAGAGAGGGATGGTAGTGACGGCTGCACAGGGATGTGAATGTGCTTGGCCAGTGACCCATGCGCTTGAGAATGACATCACCAGCTCCTTAATGTGGAATGTACCTCACGCGTGGCCGTAGAACATGGAAATTTGTGGATGGCAGCCCCAGCTCCTTAATGTAGAATGCTCCTCACGTGTGGCCGTAGAGGAGATCCCCAAGGATGGAACTGCTTGCCTAGCCCTGGACCCTAAATGCTCAGTTGGAAAGGACTGACCAGCAGAGTTCAGAGTACAGAGGGCAGAAGGTCCCCGTAAAAAGGAAGGCAAGACGAGAAGCTCAGTAGGTGAGCAAGCAGAAGGACCAGTATTCAGATCCCCAGAGCCCCCATAAATATCTGTGCAGGGCAATGCTCCCAACACCAGTAGAAAAGGAAATGGAAGATCCCTGGAGCTCGCTGGCCAGCCAGTCTGGGCCAGTCCCTGAACTCCAGGCTCAGTGGGAAACCCTGTCTCCAAAACAAGGTGAGAGGAACCAAGAAAGACACATGACATCAACCTCTGGTCTCCATATGTATTCACATACAAGCACACAGATATGCAGGAACATATACCACACACACACACACACACACACACACACACACACACGCAGTAACAACGACAGAAGGCCAAGAGAGTTGCCTATTAAACTAAGGGATGCCAAATTTAAGCAGGCAGTGGAAGCCACCGTTGAATTTGAGTAGGCACTTGATAGGTATAATTTGCATCTTCAAGATTGCTCTGGCTGCCAGCTGGTAGCTGGAGGCAGAAAGATGAAATGCATAGGAAGACTTGGCTTTCCAATGAGCACCAAAGGCACCAGGACAGAGAGCCAAAAGAGGATCTGCGCTACTGCTAGCTGAAGCAGTGATTTTTCCAGGAGTAGACTGAATTTCAGAAACAAAGGGAACTCCTGCGGCTACCCTGCATAACAATACTGTGAAT